TTCTAGTATTTCTATATTCTTAAAATCTATTACTACCTGATTTTGCTTGTATTTTGTATGTTCTACTATCTTGCTGTTGTTACTGCTTTCTTGAGCTTTACGCTACTGCATTTCTTCTCTATAGCGTTGTAATTTGCTTGCTTGTTTGGAGCCGATGGTCTATAGGAAACAGCCTATCTACCTGCACAAGATAGGAGTAAGGCTGCATACTCATTACCCTCCCTAGATTCCACTTGTGAGACTACACTGGATTTGTTGTTGTTATTATTGTCAATAAACAAAAACGTGAAAGTTCATTGTAGAATTATTTTTTCTACCCAGATTATAAATGGCTATAAAAGATCGTTTCCTCTTGGTACGAACATCACAAAGAAAGCAATATGCCAAAATTGAAACACTTAAAAGCTGACTTATATTTTGTACATCGATAGTGTTGTAAAGAATTCTTATACTCTTAAGTTAACTCTCCATATCGAATATAAAATAAAACTAAACTTCTTCCATTCCATTTTGTTTGACACAATTTTTAATTATTCTTTTCCAAAAGAATCTCACCTTCGTATATTTTTTTAATGATAAATTTTTATAATCACACAAATATTATGACAATACTTATAGGGGTATGTCTAGGTTGAGGGTTGTGGTTTTACGTGAACTAAGCTCCTACCTTAGACCATGTATAGTAATGTATATACCTCTTCAAGACTACTTAAATATACATCTTTACACTCGAGCTCAAAGAGTCATATTGTGCAATAATTTTTAGGTGCACCTCTACGGCTGGAGTTGACGTTTTAAATCTTACGTCTGTCATATCATTTTTACCTTTTTTTTTGTTTTTTTGTTTTTTGGAATCAAAACCCAGTGTAGCGAGAGCTTAGTGCACCGGACTACCCTTTTTATTTTGGAATCAAGACCGGGGTCTCAAATCCCATGTTGTCTTATTTTTTTTTAATTTCTTTTTCTAGAATTTGGCCTATCTATGAGAATTATGGGTGTATAAAGAAAACCGATAAACTGCACCAAACCGATAATCCAAGTCAAACCGAGAAAAAAAACCCGACTATGGTTTGGTTTGATTTGGTCTGGTGTTGCAAAAAAAGTAACCCGACCATAATTGGTTTGGTTTGGTTTTAACTAAAAAAAGTCAAACCGAAACCAAACCATCCCGACATTACATGTATACAAGTTTTAAAAATATTTTATACATAAAAATAATTATTGTAATATAATTTATAAATATAATTTAAACTCTTTAATAGTTCTCTCTTTTAATGTATTATTTCAAGCTTAGACTTAAAATATTTGAACGATCAAATATGTTTTATAGCCCATAAAAGTTAGTAACTCAAATAAAGCCCAAAGAATCAAATTAATACTAATGTTAACAAAAAAAAAATTAATTCAATACTAGAAATGACAATAATATTGAATATTTTTTTTAGTTCACATTGATTTAGATAGTGAAAATGCATAACTCACTTTTATTATTATTTAGTAATGTAATTAATACTTAGTACTTATTAGTCGTACTTATTTTAACATGACTTAGTACTTTTAGATTATGTTTATTTTTATTATGGCTTATTAATTAGCAATGTATCTTATGCGATTTGTTGAGTATTTTAGTATAATTATGACTCATCTCACCTTATTTTGTATAATTTTATTGGATAACATCTTATATAGTTTTATCCTACTAGGAACTAAGAAATATTAGAGCACAAATTATAAATCTTATGCTATGAAGATTTTGTCGGAAAAACCCCGAAAAATCCGAAAAAAACCCAAGAAAAACCGTGATTGAAAAACCCGATTTTTGTTGGTTTGGTTTGGTTTGTAAATTTAAAAATCCGAGACAATTGGTTTGGTTTGGTAATCGAAAAATCCGAACCAACCTGACCTATGTACATCCCTAATGAGAATCATAACCATGTTTGGCCTGCTTGCGTTTTAAAGGGGTGGCAAATGCGCGGGTTGGACTGAATTTGGGCGGATCAAGATAGGCTGAGTCAATAAATGGGTCATTTCCCAATCCATCCCAAAGTGTACTTGGGCTAAGATGGGCTGGGTCAAGAAGGGTTAAATAATGGGTCATAGTCCAACCCGCCCAACTTGGCCCATATTTTAGAACCATGTTCATCTTGCATAAACAAAGCCTCTTGCCTCTTATACACCTATGTATGTTCCTTGCTTTCTTAGCTTCTTCATAATTTATTCTTTATATGGACTGACAATGAATTGCTATATATCTAATTTTAAATTTTTAGCTAAGAAATACATATGGATTAATCTTACATACAGCTATTCATGAGCTTTTATAACTTTCTAAAACTAAATAAATATTTAGAAGTGTATAAGAAAGAAGAAAAAAAAGCAAAGAAAATAGCAGTTGAAAAGAAAGGCTTCAGAAAATCTCTAAAAGAATTTTTTTATGCAAGATAAATGTTTGGTTAGTTGATTTTTTCTTTTGGTCCGATAAACAATTCATTTAGAAAAGAGCCTTCCGACCACACAAAATTTTCAGAAAACTTTGTTGATTAAATATTTTAGAGAAAAATAACTCAGATAATATTATGTACAAACTTTAATTGATATCTATTTATGTAGTTATTATTTCTTCTTTACAATGTAACACAAGAAGCCTACTCCCCACTTAAGAAGTACTCCCTCCTTTTCAAAAAAAAATAATTATTTTCTTAAATAACAAATTAATATTTAAAATTTGTAAGTTGAAAAATATCTTTTATGTTATTTCTAAATAAATTTCACCACAACTCAATTACAAAATTATTCATCATTACATTAAAACTTAAATACCTTGATTCTTATTTTAAACTTACATACATAAACTAATGATGGGGCAACTAAGTAAATTTTCAGACAAACCTTCAGTTGGGTTGAGATCTCTTTGTTTTGGGTGAGTTTCATGTGTTGTATTTGGGCTACTTCATAGGTCAGAATGGGCTATAAAAAATAAATGGGTTAACTTGGGCTCAGCCCAAATAGACCCCTGAACTAAAATGTTTGTAGTCCAGCCCATTAATCTTTGGTTTGGTTGGGCGGATTTGGGCTCAAATGCAACCCCTAATTTTAATTAAGTACTTTTTATTTTTATTTTTGTATAGTTTATTCTTTCAAAATTTGAAATTTTCAAATTTTGACACATTAAAAACTCTTTATTACTTCTGTCACCATAAACTTTACATTGTCAAATCAAATATCTATATTAAAAATAATATATAAAAAAAAGAGAGGATATAGTATATAGTTAACATGTTTAACTATCAGTCTATCACAATGATACGGAATATAGATATGATACTAAAATTGTAAAAAAGAAAAATTAATTAGAACTACAATTTCAAAAGTGCAACATGTTTATAGTAAGAACCTAAAGATTTGATCCAAATATGTATCTTAGATCCATTTTTTCGTAATAGGTCCTTCATCTTCCTCTCTGCATGTTTAAGACCACAAGTTTCAAATAAAGACGGATTTAGAATTTTTCTAAGATGGGTGCACCACTAAAGAAAGGGAAAAAAAGAAAGTATTAAGTGAGAATTGATTCTTACTAGACGAATAACTCAGCATTCAACAGAGTGCACCATTTAGCCTCTTTGGAGCATGGGTGCCAACAGATAATATTAGATCAATTCTAGAAAATATGTACATAAAATATCTGGTTTGGCGGAAAAACCATGGGTTCACGTGCCTCATATATAAGCTTATAAGTCCCCCCTAATTTCAAAATTTTTATAACCACACAAATGCTATGGATATTCAAGATCACAAATTTCAAAAGCCATCATTTCTTTATTAAAGTTGTGCTAAATCAAAATATTACAAACCAAGTGAAATGGAAGGAGTGACTTGATATAACCGATTAAGCTACACGGATAATGTAAAATTTCTTTACAATCTCGATATCTAACTCACTTTTGAAAACAATTTGGCCGCTTGGATTTCGTTCAAGGCTGATTGAGTAGGTGACCTAAAAATAAAGGTCATCAATTTAAAAGAAAAATCATTTCTTTAGTAACTTTAGAAGAAAGGTCATCAAATATGAAGAATAAGCATTTACCTCATTTTCCCCACCCAACTTAGTGGACAAATTAGGAGAGTTCCCCGACCAATCACCCTTTGAAACTCGTAAATTACATACAAGCATGCATGCCTCAACTAGGGGTACGGTTAAAAGAAAACAGTTAACCACCCATATTATCCATTAAAAAATGGGTGGGATAATAAATTTTTTAAAAACGGGTCAAATATGATTAAGAACCATATTATTCATTTAGAAAATGTATAACCAATAGGTAACCAATAGATAACCAATAGGTCTAACTTTTACATTTGTAAAGCCTCAAATTGGGGGTTCCTCAAGTTAGGGAGACTAAAAATTCTCCCAAATGTGATCATATGCAAAAAGTCATAGATAATATAGTTACCCATATTATCCGCCGGTTAACCTGTTTTTTATCCGTATTAAATATGGGTCGGGTCGGATAATTTATTTGTTTTTCCATTACCACCGAACCATATCCGACCCGACCTCCCGTTTGCCACTCCTACGCTCAACCAAACCAACGAACAAAAAGTGCTAGGAAAACCATCACTAAACTCCTATATTTTCAGGATGGCTTATCACTTTTTTTTTGAGTTGCACCGGGTGTCCGAGTCTCTAAGAGCCCCGACTAATCCCGAGGGTGCATAGGCCCTCGGCAAAGAGTTTCCCGCAAGTGCACCACGGTTAATTCAGGTTTTACCCAGTCCGATGGCCCTCAGAAATTGTTTACACCCAGTGAGTTTCGAACTTGAGACCTTGAAAGGGAGCAAACCCCAAGGCTCAAGTCTATTGCCACCAGGCCAACACCAGGATAGCTTATCATTTCTGGAAAGAGATTAATCAACCTTAGAAAATATCGATTTAGAACGATAATAATTAGAAGAGGAATCAACTATTATAGTGACCACAGTGCTGTTATAAAGCAAGCCAATTAGAGCTGCAAAGTTCCTTTTCTGATCATATCGCTGAATATAAAAATCAACTTAAAATTGCTCCACATATAGCATCATACAGGACTCATCTTCACTCAGAACTAACGATGAATCCCACCTACCCCTCTGAGCTTCTTACCTTGTTTTTCAAACCAAATAAGTTTAAACTGCTAAATTTCATCATTGAGCAAACACTTACACTTAATAAGAAACTAAGATTCATACCACACTGATTCATAATTGAATTAGAAACTGATGTCAATAGCCATACAATGAATCCTCCAGGAATTCACGAGCTATGCTTTCTGGTCTTTCAAATCAGTTCAGACGTGAACCGCCAAAACAAGACGTGAGAAATCAGTCTTTTCTGAGCTCCATTTCTTCCCTACGAATACCATTCACATTTAATATGACTATCTCCAGCCTGTCACCCTGCAAAACAGAAGCACACGTTCCGAAAAAATGGATGATAAATCAACTCCTACGTAATCATCTTGAACAAGACCTCACGGAAACCACCAAACCACTACATAAAAGCAGAATACATTATTGACTTACGGTGTATATATCCCTTTCAGTTGCTGAAGCAAAACATGTTTTCACTAAATCAATGGCTTCTGATTCAGAAAGCGGAGTAACAGCATCCTGTGCAGACCATGGAAGCTTTTATTAGACAGAGAGCATGTTTTTCATTTCTCCCTCGTTCTTTGGATGAAATACACAGATGTAAAGAGTAGGTAAAGAGTAGAAAGTGATAAACATTTACAGTTCCTAGAACAGAGAAAAATTTGTAGTTCTCTCCCTCACAGGAAGGGAGACTTAGAATTTAAAACTATAAGCAATTATCCCATTTTCTTGATTCCAAACAAGAGAGAAGAAAATCATTTACTTCTAATTTTCCCTCTTTGATCTTTCCCTTCTCTAATTTCTACCCAACTTAACAAGGACATGTTTGCTTTTAAAATAAACATTTTAGTTATCAACTTGGTTTGATTTCTGAAAAGTGAATAAAACTTGGCTTGTTTTTCCTCTCAGAACATGTGAGATGTGTGGGACCCACCGCTCGCCTACCCGTTTCTTTTTTCAAGTAGAGGGCATCATTTTCCAAATACAAATCTGTTCCAATTTTTTGGCCAAGTTGTAACCTTTTTTTTTTTTACTTCAACCTGATCATTTTTTTCCTTGGAGGGGAGCATGCGTATTTTCATCATTTTCTAACTAAATTTCTTTTTGGCCAAGTTGAATCTTTTTATCCTTCGACCTGATAACTTTTTATCCTAATATACATGAAGTAGTATCTTCAGTGTAGCAGTATCTAAAGCAGGTTATTAATTTCACCCATGCCAAAATCTCAGCAGACTCTTTAGGGCTTCGGTAATATTTTCCCCAACCCAACACCACTTTGCCCCCAAACCTAACCAAAAACCAACTCCATATCAAAATTCAAACACACACAATTGTTTTCCAGAAACAAAACAAATGTTGGTCACTAAAATTAAACCAAGAAACAATTCTTTAATCAAAAGCCACCAAAGTATTTGTCTATGTAACAAAAATCTGACAAATTCAGTAATGAACAGACCTTGGCAGGCAGCAAGAGAGGGCTGGGAGATTTTAGCTGGTTGTCCAGGAAAGGCATGATAAGAGTTGAACCTGAACCTTGAGAACTGTACCCTACCCTCTCGTAGGATCCAACAGCATCATATGTGAAAACACACCCCTTCCCTACAAGGTTTTCAGGATGAAATGCAAATAAGCTTCTTTATCAGCCAAGAATCAAAATAAGAACCTTAAGACATCATTTCCACCTCATAAAAAGTTACCTTCACTGTCAAGGCCACCTAAAACATTGAAGGAGTAGTAGGGGAAAAAGCGTTTGTAGTATAGAGTGTTCGATAGTAGCTGACCCATTGCTGGGCAGCTCATCTGTTTGTTGTGCTGATGCTGATAGATCTATTTCCAAGAACAAACAGCTGAATATTATTCTCAATTCCATAAATATCTAAAATCCTGAAGTCTAAATACAGATGATTTCAATAATTAATATTGCATATCCATTTCAAAATTAAGCCCCATAAAATTGAAGTACATAATACTCCTCTTCTGCACAAGTTAGATGACCTGCTCCTAGGGCACAAACATTAAGAGAAAAGCACAAAATGTGTAACATTTTGTGTAGATTTAGGGAATATGTCAGGTGTAGGTTACAGTTTAATTTTAGGTAAGGAACTCTATGAGCAGAGTGAAAATGGGTGCTCCACAACTTTATCTGTTGTGCAATGTATATTAAGTTTTTTCTTTCAAGGGAAGTTGCTAATAAAAAATAAACGAAAGGAAGATATTCAATTTAGAAACAGAGCAATAAGTTGCACCGGATAAGCCTTCCAAAGCAGCTGTTTGTGATTACATGTTTTACAGGAAAGGAGTAATTAGCAAACAATGTATTGGGTGTTCCAGCAGAATAAAGGTAAGTTTTTCTTCTGGATAACTAAAGATTTAGTAATCATCTAATGAAATGTTAAATGTCAAACAAAAGTATCAATTTATCATTGAAAATATTTTTAATAAACAAGCGATTTTAGGGTTATTGTTTTTCACAATTGACATAATGACATGTTTTATCTTCATATAAATGTATGATAGGATATGACTTCATTTAGAATCTTCTCATTGTTAAATTGCAAGACAGGATAAGAGGAAGATAGACACATAAGCTCTAGGGCATCACTTTTAGTCTTTTGTTTCCTTCTTTTTCAAATAAAGCGGACTCGTTTAGATATTATACCCCACAAAGTATGCTGCTCTAAATAGTCAAGTTGGCTCATACATCAACTTTGGCTTCTAATAATATTTTGATCCCTTAATATACGTAACATGGGACAAAGAAGATGGGTGATTTGACTTGAAAATGAGGGGAATTGGCTTTAAGCTATCCTTCTTTCCCTCCTTTCGTATTCTTTTACTTCTTTCCTCTCTTCCTTTCTACTTTGCTGCCACTCCAGGTCGTGCACCTTCGGCTTGCCCTTCTCTTGCCCCCTGTCCCTTTCCCTCCCCCTATTGTTTTGTACAAGCAGTTTTGGTCTTCCTCTCTGTGTCCTGTCTAGTATACATAAGTTCATCGCCAGTCTAAGACACTCGAGTAACTTCTCAACTATGTTGCTCCGACCCTCCGAAAATGTCGCCGGATACGTGTCGGATCCTCCAAAAGTAGTGTATTTTTGGAGGATCCGACACGGGTGCGGCAACATTTTGGAGAGCCCACGCAACATAGCTTCTCAATCATAAGCATAAATTGAAGAGTTCTAAGACTTCTCAGGTTATAAACAGTTTGTGTTTCTGACACAAAGGAATAAGTCAGGAGAATAAAAGCTCAAGGCTTTGGCTCTCCACAGGCTTAAGTACTCCCACATAAAAACCCATAATGAATAAGAGCCTAACCACAGAAAATCAGTAGAACTCAACAATAAAAAAAATGAAAATCAGTAGAACTGCACTATTGATTTTTTGTTTTTTTTTGTTTTTGGTTTTTGTTGATAAGTAGATTTTTCCATATTGAAGTATCCACGAGGATTATTTAATACAGTCAGCATATTACCAGATGCCGGGATGCCAAAACCTTTTGCAAAGCTCTCACATCAGCCTGAAATCCAGAGGAGGCCATCACACATCTATCCGCGCTGCATACCAACAAAGTAATAATTGATATAAAAGGCTGCTACAGTCAAAATAGTAGGTGCATAAAGATAGTAAAGAGGAAACCTCTAACTACTTGTGATATAAGGTGTAAGAAAAATTTCTCCTTGCAAAATGGGTAATATCAATTCTTTCTATCCTATCACAAGAATCCATAGAAGGAGGTGATATATCTGACCATCAATCAGTTGCAATACAATAGTATGCCTAGCCCCTTTTGCAAAGATAGGTACGGACGCCTAGCATGACTTTTAGCATAGAAGAGAAGAAATAAGACCAGCTCCAGCCACACCTAATACTTTCTACATATAGTATTACAAAGTAGGCTCCTATAAACTTTATATATCATCAAATAGAATTAACTAACAAAGAATCAAATCTCTCGAGGCTTTAAATGGATAGACTTTTCCATAAATATTGTCAACATACTGTCTAAGAACAAGGAAGGGGGTGTGTTGGTTTATATAAGTCATTTTTATTGATATGAACAGCAGTAAGAGGGGGATGGGGATCAGTACAAAAGCAGGATTTTGCTCCATATTTCCTACAAGGAGTCAATATAGCTCCGCAAGGTGTCAAAATGCTTTAAATTTCTCATCTTACACCAAAACGCTAAAAGCTGTTAATATTTATATTTTATACAATGAAATGCAGCTGCTTTGCCTTCAAAACATTTGGAATCCTTTCCCTCCATATTGTCCATTATGCACAGATGTAGGTGCTCCATGTTGCCTCAATGTGCTTCTTTATCTTCTAATTCCTCCAAGCGGTAAAAGTGTACTCCATATTGCTTACAATCACCCGCTTTGTGCCAAAAACATGGGTAAACAAGCCCCATGTTTGCAAGCGTACCAGCAATGCAGAAATAAATGCTCTGAGTCTTCCGCAGCATCTTCACACAGAAAACATCTGCTACACATTCTTATCCCTCTCCTCTACAGATTTGCTTGAGTTAAAACAAGTTTTATGTAGTTCAATCCAAGTGAAACATGCAACCTTTGGAGATTCTTTACTTTTCCACAAGGTTTCTGATGGCCATTGATTGTCTCTTACAGTGCTGTTTAATACACAAGGTTTTTCATGGCCATTGATTATCTCTTACAGTGCTGTTTAATATCTTTTTTATAAGTTAAATTTTCTTGAATCTAAAAGCCACAAGCACTAAAATAGTGCTGGGCAGTACAACTTCCAGAGATTACATCATTGTCATTCCTGCAGGGATCTAATAAATTCTATCAACTTACCCTCATTATTATATTTATATAAGCTAGATTACACCAAGAAGCAAAATTACACAAAGATCTAAACTGCAACATATGATAGATACAGCTTTGTTTCAGAACATCTCCTGTTTCTTTCTGCCAAATAGTCCAGAAAACACAACCTGGAATAAGCTCCAGATCTTTTTCAGCTCCTTGCTGTCCCTGCAGAATAACTAGCTAATAAGAAACTTCTTAACGGTTGCTGCGATGACCCATTTGACCCCAAACATATTGAAAAATAACTGCCAAAGCTTACCAGTGACTTCAGTGTAAAAAAGATGCCCGGTTCTGTTTAATATTTTATAGCATGACTTCACTGTATAAAGCCCATTCTCTTTTGTTTTCCTGATATCTATCATCGAAGCTTCCATATTTCCAATGAGTTGTGCCACCATCTTAATCTCCCAATCAAAGAAAAAGGGCAGCCCGGTGCACTAAGCTCCCGCTATGCGCGGGGTCCGGGGAAGGGCCGGACCACAATCAAAGAATTACTAAAAAATGGAGGTTCCATCTGTTCCCTACTCTACAATCAGCTACAGTTCCTTCTTTGTTCAATGCAAAGCATATAAATCTGGGAAGGTCACCATTAAAAGTGAATATTCCAACCGTACATCCTTCCACATCGTTATTTTCTCTCTATTGACTACTTCCAAATTTAATTAAATTCTGAAATTCTTGCCATAAATTGTAAATGTTCCTCCAAACAGTAACACCATAAGTCGATCTGCAGATTCATGTGCTTCAGAGGTTAGGCCAACCAGTCTTTTGCCATAATACTTTCTTCCATATTATCTCTTCCTCACCACTAAACCTCCAGAGAAGTTATCTCAAAAGAACTATAAACTTTTGGCATCAATCCGGACTTAGATAAGAACAAAATATAATGGAAGCAAATGATCCATATAGACAATTCCAATTAGTTGGGATACCTTTTTGTTGTTTTCTTTTTTACTTTATTTTTGGGTGATAAGTAAGCAAAAATTTCATTACTCAACGAGAAATTGTAGGGAGGGGCGCAAAAGATTTGCAAATCTGTCCTGTCTGTTCATGAAAACTTGCTAAAAGGTATAGTGAAAGTGTGAAACATCTACTTCACATACATCAGTGAATTAACACCAGATAGAGAACTGTTAGAAACATCCGTACTTCAATTTATATGCAGTTCTTTCAGCCTTCCTTCGAATCATCTGTAGTCTCTCTGTCCAGTATCCATGGCACACACATGTAATGATGTTCCAAAATCCTCTTCTGCACTCATAGCAAATGAGATTGTTGATTGGAAGATAAAATCTGGTGAAGCTGGGCTCTTGCTCAAGCTTGATGTTGAGAAAGCCTTCGATAAATTAAGCTGGCCCTATCTCATTTCAATTCTCAAGCAGATGGGCTTGGGGATAAATGGATTAGATGGATCAGATACTGCATCACCACAGTCAAGTACTCTGTCCTTGTTAATAGAGGCCAGTGGGTTTTTTCTCTCCAAATAGAGGAATCAGGCAGGGTGACCCTCTCTCCCCCTTCCTCTTCATTTTGGCTATGGAGGGTCTCAGTAAAATGGTTGACAGAGCTAAGCAACTACAAAGGTTTGAAGGGTTTACTGTGGGCAACAACAGGGGTATTCCCATCTCTGTTTCTCACCTTTTGTTTGCTGATGATACACTTTTCTTCTGTGGAGCTGAGAAGTCTCAAGTCCTCTACCTGGATCTTACTCTTATGTTTTTTGAGGCAACGTCGGGCCTACATATAAATATGATCGAAAGTGTTATTTACCTGGTGAATATAGTTCCGAATCTGATGGAACTAGCTGGCATTATGGGTTGTAGTACTGGCACCTTTCCCGCCACTTACTTGGGCCTGCCCTTAGGTGCCAAACACAAGTCTACTGCGATTAGGAATGCAGTAATTGAGAAGTTTGAGGGAAAGTTGGCAACATGGAAGAAGCAGTACCTATCTAAGTTGCTCGGACTCGGGTGCGGGTATCCGATACGGGACGGATCCGAGTATCGGATTCGGCAAAATCTAAATTTTAAGATTCGGGGGGCGGATCCGGATATGGATACGGGTGCGGATTCGGCTAATAAAAAAAAGAGCTATAAAAATATTGTAAATTTTGAGAGATATTCTGTGAAAAACTTGCATGAATATTGTAGAATTCAATCTTTCATTCTCCAAGATGGACATTATTCTTTCATTCTCCTAAATCTATTTTATTTTTTATTTTGAGAAATCAAAATCTCAATTTTTCTACCAAATTTGTCGATGGACTCCGGTCAAAGTGTCCGAACTCAGTTGACTGAATCTGGGACGTATCCCGCTCCCGCTCCCGTCCCGTCTCGTATCGGGACGGGGACGACACCAAAATCGAAGAGTCCGCGCAACTTAGGTACCTATCCTTTGGGGACAGACTAACTCTTATCAACAGTGTACTGGATAGTATCCCTACCTACTTCATGTCACTCTTTCCCATCCCAGCAAAAGTCCGGTTGCAACTTGACAGATTAAGAAGGAACTTTCTATGGGATGGCAACATCATCAATTAAAATATCCACTTGGTGAAATGGTCCAAGGTCACACTTCCTAAATCACTTGGTGGACTTGGTGTAAAAGATCTAGCCTTGCATAGCAAGGCCATGTTGATGAAATGGCACTGGAGATTCAATCAAGATGATGTTGGTCTCTGGAAAGAGGTTATCACGGCCAAGTATGGGAGACTTAACCACTGGTGCACCAAACCTGTGAGATCACCCCATGGCACAGGGCTACGGAAACACATAAACAGCTTACGGGAAGATTTCTTCGGCAGCACATACTTCCAGGTTGGAGATGGGACCAACATAAAGTTATGGACAGACAAATGGCTAGAGGATACTATACTAAAGGAAGCATTCCCAGATTTGTTCCTTATTGTAGATAACCCAGACTCTCTCATTGCTCACAATAGAGAGGTCAACACATGGAATCCCATTTTAGAAGGAATTTGCATGACTGGGAGGTAAATGAGTTCATTGACATGATGAAAACACTGGAGAAATGTTCAATCAACTCTCAGCTAAGTAGCAAACTGAAATGGGGCAACTCTTAGGATGGCCTTTACACTGTTAAGGCAGGGTATGCTAATCTTTGCTCTAATAATTTGATGATTGATCTTTGGCCCTGGAAGCTAATTTGGAAACAAAACTTCCACCTAAAGTGAGCTGCTTCAGCTGGTTGGCTCTAAAGGGTGCCTGCCTCACCCAAGACAACCTAATCAGAAGAAATTTCCAACTAGCAAACAGATGTTTCATGTGTCTGTCAAATTCAGAATCCATTAACCAGCTTCTCCTGCACTGTCCAGTGGCCACAGACATCTGAAATTTTGTATTTTTGGATTGAAATGGACTATGCCATCATCTGTCAGAGATGCCCGTGCAAGTTGGAGCTTTAGGAAAGTTGACAAGACCATCAGAAGAATATGAATTATGGTTCCTGCTAGCATTTTTTGGTGTATCTGGACCGAGAGGTATCGTAGATGCTTTGATGCTGTATCAACTACAATTGGCTACCTGAAGGCTAGATGTTTGGTTAACCTTTTTAGTTGGGCTAACCTCTCTCCTGTAAATAACTCTGACGTATTTTTGGACTTTGTCAGCTCTCTAGTTTTGTAGCACTTCAATTGTAAATGAGCTGATAAACTTTGCTTTGTAATCTTTTTGCATCTTCTTGATGCCTTTAATGATATCCTGCTTACTTCATCAAAAAAAAAAAAACCTCTTCTTTATTTAGGTATGATTACAAGATTCCAGCATAGCAGGAGGAACAGACAAATTCTCAACTTTGTTAGTAGCATTCTTTCTTGTTGTCTAGTGGAATTCCATAAAATAAAGGAAGGCATACTTAACACACATCAATTAGATGAACCCCTTTGCTGCACGCGACAGTAGTTTCATTCCTTTTCTTAGGACTTTCTTTTATAACAGTTGCATCCGGCCATGGAGCATCTCAATCATTTCATAGACTTGCATCCTCTCACCGGTGCAGGTACGGTGTAACTCTATCTAGTTATGCTTACGTAGATGTGAAGAAATCGTGTAACTCTTTTCCCCTCTTCAATGCTTTGAACAATGTCTCTCATGGTCTTCATTCCAGCTTCATCAGCCTTGACCACACCCTCCATCAACCTTTTCTTAAGACTTAGTTATTGCTGTTACAGTTAGGCTAAATCTGGTGTTTGCAGGTGACTTTTTAGTCTGGTTAGAAACTTGTATGTCCTATACAGATATGTTTGAGATCATAGGCGAATTCAGGATTTGAATTTAAAGGTTTGAGTTCAGGATTCTACCACAGTCCATGTGATTTACGGGATTGAAAATCTATTTTTTTTTCTTTATTTATTATGCTTTTTTACACATATACAGGATCTGAGCCAAGCTAATGGATGAACCCATAACATGTACACTAAATCTCATCTTGCCTGAGATATTACGGAGGTTACCAAGGTAAAGCAGAACAGACGAGGATTCACATAACTGATCCTAACTAGTTTGGAATCGAGATGGAGTTAATCTATTGATCATTGATTGATTCTATCTAAGATATAAGGATAATCCAGAATATTACAATTTCAAGGAGATAAAGAATGTAATGAGACTTGACGGCAAGGCAACAAAACAGCACAAGTACAGAAAATGAATGCACATTAAAGGAGATAAGATGAGGAACATACAGTTTAATGATCTTGGAGTAATCGCGAGTTAGAATGTTGTAGCCAGTAGACATCCTAGTATCTGCGGCTATTACACAATAATCTGCACCTGCTACCGCAACACATGTTCTGCAACATTGCAAAGATGAATTTTTAAAATTTAATAAAGAAAATAAAAAAGAGGAAGAAGCAATTGACGCTGATAATTCCATTATACATTACCCTCCATTGTTGTCATAAGGAGACCAGTTAGCTTGCTGCTTCGTCATGTTGATTCGCTCCGTGTGTGTGTGTGAGAGAGAGAGAGGAAGAAGAAGAGTGATTGATTCGTCTTCAGCAAGACATCCGACTGTAAGTAGTGGATGGGCTTTCAGTCATTGGGCCTTCCAAGATCCATTTTTTGGGAAAATTTCACAAATAGCTTAAAGCCTAATTATCCGGAGAAATTTAAAAATAGCCAGATTTATAACTGGTCGTTCAAAAATAGCCCAATTTCAAAAGTAATCGAAATTTAGCCACTTTTTATGCAAAGATAAATCTGAGCGAAAACACTGTTCAAAATCCAGAAAATACTCCAGTATATTATGCTGGAGTTCCAGCATAAGTATACTTGAACTCCATCATATTATACTGGAGTTCTAGGATAGTATGCTGGAACTCCAGCATAATATGATGGAGTTCCAACATAAATACACTAGAACTCCAGCATAATATACTGGAGTTCCAGCAAGTATAATGGTCCAGTGTAATATACTGGAGTTTGGAGCACCAGTGCTCCAGTCTCCAGTATATTATACTGGAGCCAGCAAAGTATACCGGTCCAACATAATATGCTGGAGTTCATACACAAGTGCATCGAACTCCAGTATATTATGCTGGACCGGTCTCTATTGCAGCAAAACGGTGGCTATTTTTCATTGACTTGGTAAACGCTGGCTATTTTTGATTGACCAGTCCGAAAACTGGCTATACCGTGCTATTTTTACCTAATTATCATACGTACCTATAATTTATTTAAGGTCAAATATATAAGTAGCCCCTTAAACTTGTCCAAAAATTTCATATAGCTAAACTAAGGCTATGACCTATTGAGCACTTCATCTCTATTTAACTTGTGTTATTAGACACAAAAAACTAAACGGGCAAGAAAATAGAATGCGTGACCTTCACACGCCAATAACATGGCAAAGAAGCCAATAAAATGAGGACACGTGGCATCTCAAAAATGAAAAAGATTTATTAGCATAATTTTTTCAACTCTCCCCGCGGTTCTCTTTTTCTTCCCAGAAAATTACTTGGGGTTCTCTAGCTTTAGAGCTGTAGGTGTCACCATTCGCTAATGGTACGTAGCGTAAGTCGATGATGAAATGGGAGGACATGAGGGCAGGCAAGATTCATCAGGTTCTCGACGGTGGATCGAAAGTTGGTAGTGGCAGCCACATGCAGCGCAGTTGAGCGAGGTGGGATCGATTGCAGTTGTATTCTGCGATGGCTAAACTCACCAGTCACCACGTTGTATTCTTGAAGTTTTCCTTGTGAAAATTTGTGTGATGAGCCAGTATCAAGCTTTACTGGTGAAAGGATCCAGAAATTTGTGCACTTGTGAGTGCAGTCATCCATTGTTACAAGCCTAGGTCCATTGTCTTGGTTGTAGATCAAAGATGTTTTCTTTTTTGTCTTATATTATTTTCAATTCAACATTTAATCTAGTTTTATGGGACTTCGCAAATTGGGATTATGTAAGTAGATGCCGATTTGGTGTTCCAAATTAGATTGTGGCCGAATTTTAAGGATAAAAAATGGAGTTTTTCAGTATATTGAGGTTGTAGGAGTAATGGCATTTGGTTTCGTTGGTGAAGAAAGCGACTGTTTAAACCTTTTTTTTACCTAGTAACGCGCTCAAATTAGGTGAAAGTCAGTCTTTGTGCCAAATCAGCTTTTTGTGTCTAATAGTACAGTTTAAATAGAGATGGAGTGTTTAATAGGTCATTGACTTAGTTTAGGTGCCTATATAAAATTTTTGGACAAGTTTAAGGGGTTGTCTATGTATTTGGCCTTTATTTAATTATCATTCATAGCTATTGTTCAATTATGACCAGTTACAACTAGGGTAAAAATATAAAAATACAGAAAAGTAGAATACTCTTGAGAGTCGAACTCAAGACTCCCACTTACTAAGTAGGTACTCTACCAACTTATGTACGAGAGCTTGTCGCTCTCTTATTTCTGTTCTAAATAATTGATCTATTATTTTCTTAATACCGGTAGATTTACTATAAAATTCAAATATAGCTACAGATTATAATTTTTTGAAAGTATAGCTATGATGGTAGGATAGAAACTCATGTTTTTAGCTACATTTTGCACTCTAATTACTACACTTTGATTTTATTTGAGCCTAATTGCTAGTACTTTGTACTAATTACATGTATTATGCTCTGTAGGAGGTGATTTCATGCAAGGGGCAATTTTGGAGCTAAATTGGATGATTGGGAGTTTTGAAGTTTGAGTCAAAGCTTACGGGATTAAATCGGGATCGCGTTCGGGGGTCGAGGACCAAGTTTGGATGTCGAAAATTGAGAAAAATTCCTATTCTAAGAAAAATGCACTACTGCGCAGCGGGCCTCTAGTGCAACATTCCTGCAGAGTGAAAAAAAAATTAGCTCTCTGAAAAATCCCATGTGTGTGGCACCTGCGGCGCGTGGGGCGCCGCATTAGTACAAAATAGTGCCCAACTTTTCCCATTTCGGCTTGGAAAGGGTAGTTTCATCCGGGCTTGTTCCTACAAGGTATAAATACACCAAAAAAAGTAATTTTAAGAAGACTTTTGACCTACAGAAGATTAGAAGAGCATTGGTGTGACGACCCGAGGTCGTTTTGAACACTAGCCTTAATTTATGTGTTTCGAGACTTGTCATAGATTCATTTGATGTTATATAACTTGCGTGCGTGGTCCGTGTCGCTTTTCGGAAAGCTTTTATGTGAAATTTGGAAGAAAAAATGATTTTTGACTTAAAATGAGGCTATAGTTAACCACTATCAATGTTTTAGGTAAACGTCCTCGAATCGGTGTTTTGACGATTTTGATAGGTTTGTATGATATTTTTGGACTTGTACGCATATTTGATAAGTGGGTATTTTACCAACTTATCTCGTCTTTAAATTTAGATTTTTGCTACGTTTGGTTGATAAAATCGTGTGTTTAATGTCATTTACTTCTATTTTACAGGTTGTATGTGATTTAGAAGTAATGGTGAAGAAACCAAGTAAAAACCAGTCAAAAAGGAGCTAAAATGGACAATGGAAATCTGCCCAGTGATTTACCCTTCGCTAACGCGAAGGTCTAACGCGAAGAAGCAGAAAGCCAGACCTTCGCGAACGCGAAGCAGCAGAACTCAACCCTTCGCGAACGCGAAGGGACAATCGCGAATGCGAAGATGAAGGAAACGAACATTCGCGAACGCGAAGGTGTAGTCGCGAACGCGAATAGGAAACTGGGCGAAAAAACTGGGGAGTTCTGGAATTTCACGATTTTGACCCCAAACCATTTAATACACAAACCAACTCATTTGTAAAACATCTTTGGCTTAATTTTCAGTCTTTAGACTAGAGAGAACAAGTTTGAAAGCTAGGGTTTTTGCACATACACTTGAGTTTTGAAGATTTGAAGCTTTTGGTTAAGAATTTCTTACTCATTTGTGCCTTTTCATTTCCTTCCTTTGTATTGAATATCTAAGTGTGTAGTATTTATTTCAACACTTGAATCTTGTTTATGGGAATATTCATAATTAAAGTGTGAATTAAATATCTTGTTGTGCTTATGTATTGAATGATTTTTTAATCTTTTATGAAGTGAGTTATTGTTATTTTCATTATTCTTGTTCTTTAATGTTTCCAAAGGGATTAGCTAACCCTAGGACTCGCCCATTAACTTCGAATTAATTTTGAAAAAGATTATTTGGGGTTGGGAAAGATTAATTAACAAGAACTTGAGGCTTTAACCCTCATTTTATAGATTCTACCTAGGGATATGATTGAACTACTTGTAGCCATAATCGGGTGTGCTTAATCTCCTAATTGTTTTAGGGATAATTTAATTAGGAAGTCTTGTTAGTCTTTGGAAGAAGCTAATATAGAATTATTTCCCGAGGTTAATTAACATAAACTCGCTCATATTTGTAAAATCGTAAAATACATTGGATCGTTACTTGAGTGTAATTCCCCGTGTATCCATACTTGTAGCATTGATCATTTTACTTGCTTTTTAGGTTAGTTTACATTTCCGTATTTAGTTATAAATATTTTCTAAAAACAATTCTAAGTGTTTGGCATTGCATAACAAGTGATAATTCTCTTACATTCCTAATCGCCTACATATTGTTCTCTGTGGGATTCGACCCCGACTCATAGTTGGGTAAATTATATTGCATGCGACCGTATCCATTTACTTTTTAGTAGTGGATTTGGACGTAATCAAAATTTGGTTGCGGTCCCGAGTGACCCGCGCGCGTTTCAGCGCATTACGTAAAAAGCTGGACAATGAGTTTCAAAGTTGAAATTTTGAGTTTTAAGGATTGATTCTTGATATTTGATGTTAATTTGAAGATTTGAGTTAGCGAGCGAGTTTGTGTGATGTAATTATACTTGTTTGAATGTTCGGACTGGAACCCAAGGGGCTCAGGTGAGTTTTGGATGTGTTACGGTTGGATTTAGAACTACTGATGCTTAGTAGTTGTTGGTGTCAAGTTGCAGGTTTCGCATTTGCAAGAACCTGATCGCAATTGCGAGCCTCGCATTTGTGATGTCAGGCTCGCAAATGTGAACATCAGTTGGGGGCTAGTCTTCGCTTTTGTGAAGAATGCATCGCATTGCGACCTGGAGGTGGTCTACATTTGCGACCATTTTTGGAATTCTTGGACTACTTCGCAAATACGAAGCATGCACCGCATTTATGATGGCTAGGGACTTCGCAAATGCGAGGTCCATGTCGCATTTGCGAATTCTGAGGGTCTGATGCGCTGATCGCATTTGCGATCAGTGTTTCACAATTACGGACATCACAATTGCGAATAAGTGTTTGCAATTACTACATATGTAGATGGGTAAAAGTTTACAAAAATGTGACTTAACTTATTTTACACTATTTTTTAACCCTAAGCTCAATAGAGGTGATTTTTGAAGAATACTTTCTCCCAAATTCATTGGTAAGCACCTTTAATTAGTTTTCAATCAATTTCAACTACTTTTCATGAATTTTTAATATCAAATCTATGAATTTCGAGGTACAAATTAAGGGCTTTGGGTAGAATTTAGGAATTTTATAAAATAGAAATTT